AATGATAAAAAAGCAAAACAGCTTTATTGCTGATATGGAGAAAGTTTTGGTGGTCTGAATAGAAGACTAATACCAGCCACAACATTCCCTTAAGCCAAAGCCTAATCCAGACTAAGGTCCTAACTCTTCAATTCTGTGAAGGCTGAGAGAGGTGAGGAAGCTGCAGAAGACAAGTTGGAAACTAGCAGAGCTTGGGTCTTGAGGTTTAAGGAAGAAGCTGTCTCCGTAACATAAAAGTGCAAGGTGAAGCAGCAAGTGCCCGTGGACAAGCTGTGGCAAGTTATCCAAAAGATCTAGCTAAGATAATTGATGACAGTGGCTACACTAAACAAAAGATTTTCAATGTAGACAAAATAGCCTTCTATCAGAAGAAGATGCTATCTAGGACTTTCATAGCCAGAGAGAAGTCAGGGCCTAACTTCAAAGGCTATAGAGGTTGACTGTAGAGGTTGGCTCTATTGTTAGGGCTGAATGCAGCTGGTGACTTTAAGTTGAAATCAGTGCTCATTTACTCATTTACCAGTCTGAAAATCTGGGGGCCCTTAAGAATTATGCTAAATCTACTCTGCCTGTGCTCTATAAGTGGAATAACAAAGCCTGGATAACAGCACATTACAGCATGGTGTACTGAGTATTTTAAACCCACTGTTGAGACCTGCTCAGACAAAAATGTTCCTTTCAAAAGGTTACTGTTCATTCACAATGCACCTGGTCACTCAAGAGCTCCAATGGAGGTGTATAAAGAGATGAATGTTATTTTCATTCCTACTAATACAACATCCATTCTTCAGCCCACTGGTCAAGGAGTAATTTTAACTTTCAAGTCTTATTATTGAAGAGGTACATTTTGTAAGGCTATAACTGCCATAGATAGTGATTCCTTAGATGATTCTAGGCCAAGTGTATGGAAACCTGGAAAGGATTCACTATTCTAGATGCCATTAAGAACATTAATAGGCTGGGTGTGGTGGCTCATGCTTATAATCCTAGCACTCTGGGACTCCGAGGTGGGAGGATTGCTCAACGTCAAGAGTTTGAAACCAGCTGGAAAGGATTCACCATTCTAGATGCCATTAAGAACATTAATAGGCTGGGTGTGGTGGCTCATGCCTATAATCCTAGCACTCTGGGACTCAGAGGTGGGAGGATCGCTCAACGTCAAGAGTTTGAAACCAGCCTGAGCAAGAGTGAGACCCTGTCTCTACTAAAAATAGAAAGAAACTAACTGGCCAACTAAAAATATATAGAAAAAATTAGCCAGGCGTGATGGGACATGCCTGTAGTCCCAGCTCCTCAGGAGGCTGAGGCATAAGGATCGCTTGAGCCCAGGAATTTGAGGTTGCTATGAGCTAGGCTGATGCCACAGCACTCTAGCCAGGGCAACAGAATGAGACTGTGTCTCAAAAAAAAAAAAAAAAGAACATTCATGATTTGTGGGAAGAGGTCAAAAAGTCAACATTAACAGGAGTTTAGAAGAAGTTGATTCCAACCCTCATAGGTGACTTTGAGGGGTTCAAGACTCAAGTGCAGGAAGTAACTGCAAATGTGAGAGAAATAGCAAGAGACCAAGAATTAGAAGGTACAGCCTAAAGATATGAGTGAATTGCTGCAATCTCATGATAAAACTTAAATGTTGAGGATTGCTTCTTATTGATGAGCAAAGAAAAGTGGTTTCTTGAGGTAGAATCTATTCATAGTGAAGGTGCTGTGAACACTGTTGAACTGACAACAAAGGATGTTCAGTATTCCATAAACTTACTTGGTAAAGCAGCAGCAGGAAAGATTGACTCCAATTTTGAAAGACTTTACTACAAGTGAAATGCTATCAAACAGCATCGCATACTATAGAGAAATATTTAGTGAAAGGAAGAGTCGATCTTTGCAGCAAACTTCATTGTTGCCTTTTTTTTTTTGAGACAGAGTCTCACTTTGTTGCCCAGGCTGGAGTGAGTGCCCTGGCGTCAGCTTAGCTCACAGCAACCTCAAACTCCTGGGCTCAAGCGATCCTTCTGCCTCAGCCTCCCGAGGAGCTGGGACTACAGGCATGCACCACCATGCCCGGATAATTTCTTGTATATATTTTTAGTTGGCCAATTAATTTCTTTCTATTTTAGTAGAGATGGGGTCTCGCTTTTGCTCAGGCTGGTTTCAAACTCCTTACCTTGTGCGATCCGCCCGCCTCGGCCTCCCAGAATGCTAGAATTACAGGTGTGAGCCATGGCGCCTAGCCGCCTTGTTGCCTTATTTTAAGAATTTGCCACAGCCAACCCAACCTTTAACAACCACCACCCCTATCTGTCAGCAGCCATCAACATTGAGGCCAGACTCTTCACCAGCAAAAACATTACAACTTGCTAAAAGGCTGACATGATCTTTAGCATTTTTTGACAATAAAGTATTTTTAATTAAGGCATTTTTAATTAAAAGACATTTTTTAAACATAATGCTATTGCACACTTAATAAACTACAGTATAGTGTAAGCATAACTTTTTATATGCACTGGGATACATAAATTTGTGTTTTTTTGGAATATTCACTTCATTGCAGTGGTCTGGAACTGAACTCGCAATATCTCTGAGGTGTGCCTACACTGATGTTAAAATGATTATAAGAACATAGCTGAAGAATTCATTGGTTTTGAAATAACTTGAGACTTAATGAAATGTCACTGAGAAATAACAGTTCTTAAGAACAGATCATCCAATGATCATAGATGTAGCCTTAGATCTTATCAGAAATTTGGTTGGCGGCATATAACAAAGTACAAAGAGTAAAGTTCACAAAGTCTTGTAGAAGCAATGGATTGATCATCTTGAGGATCCCCAAAGCAGAATCAGGTGGTTTACAAAAGCAAGGCCTTGTGGGTGATAGCTGAACAAGTGCTTTGAGTTCAGTGGATTCCTTCATTCATACAGCAAACATTTATTGATCATTTACTATGTTTCTAATGCTGTGATAGTTTTAAAAAGACAGAAAAAGAAACTTATTCTTCCCTTAAGGAACTTGAGTTCAACAGGGAATTCTGATAAGAATTATGATGGATTGTGCTCTGTGTCATGCTTGCAAAGTATTTAGAACTCTGGGAGAGCCCAGAAGAGATTTTTAACTGAAAACAGGGGTACATCCAAGTGGAAATATTGAATATGAATTTGGATATATGAATCTGGATTTAGGAAAATAGGTCTAGGCTAGAGAAATAAATATGGCAATCATTGACTCTTAGAAGCTATTTAAAGCTGCAGAACTAGATAAGATCACAAGGGGTGGGGTATGAGTGTAAACTTAGAAAAAGACTTAAGTTTGACTTCTGGAATTCTCCAACATTAGGAGTAAGGGAGAAGAGGAGGAACAAACAAAGGAAAGTAAGAAGCAGCAAACACTGAACTAAGAAAAAATCAGGAGAATGTGTCTTGGAAAATGAAGTGGTCCCTCCCCTATGTCAAAGGCTGCCAATGAATCAAATAAGGTGGAGACTGAGAGTCAACCATTATATTAGCACCAATAAGGTCATTAGTAACCCTGAAAAGAGCACTTTCAGTGGAGTGGGCATAAAAGAAAATAAGAGGAGAAGAAATGAAGAGAGTGAATTGAATTCTGCTACAAAGCTGAGCAATATCTAGCAAAGGAAATGAGGCCAAGAGAAGGTTTTGTGTCTATGTGTATGTGTGTTTTTGAATGGAAGAGATAATAGCATCGACATATAGTCTAATGAGAATGACCTGATAGCAAAAAAAAGTGCATAGGAAAGAAAAGGGAAAATTGTTGGTGCTTTGTCCTTAAGCATATAAGAGGTGATGGGAGCTAGTTGGACATGTTGCAGGATAGCTTTTACAGAAGACCGCTTATGTGAGTGAAGATGCTAGTGGAAAGGTAGAAATGGTCGTGAAAGTTTAGTATTGGAATATATTTCTAGACATGGACTTAAACATTTTTTATATTTTTAAGAAATACTACCAAATTGCCTTCTATACTGGTTCTACTGATTTTATATTCCCAGCCATTTGCTTAATTTCCCACATCCTTATCACTGCATTGTTTTAATCTTTTTATATCTGAAAGGGAAATATTATATTCCCTCTAGTCTTCACAGCTTCAGTTCTGTCCCAAATCATTTATGTCCACAGGCTTTGGCTAGTTTGCAGAGAGACAAGAGTGAGTTGAGTGACCTGAAGTAAAGGAATGTTAGCAAGCTTGCAATTCTTGTCCCATAACTGTTCTGATGATTAATGAAGACATTCAACCTGTATAGCTGTCAGCTAAATGTCAAATTTACTTTAAATTTTTAGAGATTAAAAGGGAAAAAGAAAAGGTAAATCAATGTAATGGATTGCTTTATAAGCCAAGAAATAATCTTGTTCATACTATTAGTTCCTCCTGATATAAGAATATAAGATACTACTATAATATGGCTTATCTCTAACACTGTTTTTCTAAGTATTTTTTTTTTGAGGTATATAGAACTGGTGGAATGTGGGGTAAACAGCAAAACTGCAACCCCCTTCAACTAATTATCTATCAAAGGAACAGAGAGAAGGCAGTCGAAAGATACAGTACTGACCTTACTTTGAATTCTGTAAATGAAAGTGATTAGAGGGATGTGACATTATTTATACCACACACACCCAGCTTCACCTCCTCCTCTTTTTCAGGTTATAGCTCTTCCAAATGTAAACTTACAGGCTATTAGACTACAGGAAAAAATGAGCCCCCAGTATTGTGTATTGTCATAGTTTACATGTATTGAGCATTGTACCAGTTGTTATACTGTGGTGAGCACTGTACATATGCTGTCTTCTACATAAGAGCCTTGTGAGCTATAGGTATTATTACCCTCATTTTATACATGAGGAAACTGTGACTTACAGAGGTTAATAATCTGTTCAGATACCCAGGTAGTAAGGAAAGATCTAGGATTCAAACCAGGTCAGTATGACTCAAAATCCCACACTATTAATCACTACCTTATGCACTGTATGTTTGTCTTTTCTTAGAATATTACCTTTGTATGTAGTTCTCCAGCTGAGGCCTGTGAAGGAAGGCCATTGTTCCTCCTTGGTATGGGGAGTCTCTTCAGAAGAGGAGGACACCCTGGAGTCAGTTACTCCAGGAAAAGGAAGGGTCTCGGGAGGAAAAAAAATATGTTAATAGACCTGAAAGTTGATCTCAGATAACAGAAAAGGGGATTTTGCATCTTTAGGTAGATAGATAGATATTTAATAGATAGATAGATCCGTCTCTAAATCTAGATCTTGACAGTTGTCTAGAAAGATACTTCTGGGTGTTAAAAGCTAATAACAACAAAAGGTCCTCTCCATAAAGTAGAGATAAAGAAGGAGGAAGCTCTCAAACTTTTAAACAGGGGGAAATTAAAAAAAAAAAAAAGAAAGAAAATTCTAAAGATTAAATGATAAAAAATTTTTTTTAAAATTTAAAAAAATTAAAAGAAGGAGGAAGCTCTAAGCAGTTCATATAAGCTATTAATGAGAAAAATATTTCTAATAAGCCAAACTATATCAGGAGCACTCTGTGCTTATTTCCCAGTTGTTTTCCCTTATTATTTAATGAGATTTCTTATACTACTACTACAACATGTACCAGAATAAGAATGGCAGTTACATAGTACTTGTACCTCCATTCCCCATCATTGTCTTTGGCCTGGTTAATCATTCAGTTTACTGCATTCTTTCCTCCTGAACCCCAGCATAGCCTCAGCATCCATCTTACCCAGGTCTAGTGTTGAGGATGTAATAGTACGTCTTTTCCCCTTCCCCAATTATGGCAGATGTTGTCAATGGGAAGCAATTAGAGATTTTCGTTTTGGTGCTAGCCTTTGAAAGTCTGTTTTATTTCATTAAGGAAAGTATCCTTTTATGCTGCTACAATAGTACCAAAGTGGCAGCTGTTGTTTCAGTGGCTGCCAACCTGATGATGACATCATTTCCTAGCTATCTATCAGTGCAGTATAGGTCTGCCTCTTAGGAAAGAAATGCTGAGAAGGAAGAAGTTGGGACTTTCTAGGTGTGGGATAAAGCCAGAAAGACAAGGAAGGTTATCATACATAGAGAGGAACATCAAAAGCAAACCTTAGCTCTATCACTTGTGTTTATACTAATGTGAGTCTAACTCACATTTTATGCTTTTTGGATTTTAAGTGTTTTGAGGGCAGGGCCTCCAATTTCAGTAAGTTTTGTTGAATAATACATATTGAATAAAGCCACATTGGAGTGAATAAATGATGACTTGAAGTCTTCTGTTCCATAGTTTTTTATAGTGACCATGGAATGCCAAGGCACTTGAGCAAACAAAATGAGATACAGTTTCCTATTTTAAAAGTATTTAATTATTCTACTCTTGCAAGGTCATAATATTAATACACCATTAATATAGATGTATTTGACATAGTCCAAAAGCAAGACATGTATGCCACATTGCAGTTTTAACATAAAGATAAAAGTTGGGATTCTAAATAATTAATGCTTCTTGATGAGAGATTATCTATTCCTTTATAATTTTTTTTCCATCAGACAGTTTTTGGTCTGCCTGTTTCATCTTTTGCTGCAGAATATAGGGTCTCTACTTTCCCCATAAGGACATCAACATAAAAAGGCCCCCAAAGTTTGTTCCCTTTGACCATGGCTTCTTCAACAAACACAAAATGTGTGAACCACCTCCTGCCTTCCAAAATTACCCTAGCTCTTTCATCATATCAACAAAGTGCTATTCTTTCTTGGGAAAGGGAAGATAGGAAAATGTCTACCTTGATTTAAGTTGAATTTGAGGCAAAGGTAGAAAAACAGTGATTGAGAACTGCCTTCTCCTGCAGTTCTCTGCTTTCTTAGACTTCTATGCCTTTATACTTAATCTACCCAGAATACACTCCTCTCTCTCAAGTCCATGTGGGAAACTGCAATTGATCCTTAAACAAAACTGTTCTGTGATGCCTTTCCCCACTGCCCTTCTGCCCAAGCAGAGTCATTCTCTTCTATTCCCATAACATCTTGACATACCTCTCTGTTAGCATTTGTCACATTGTATGGAATTATTTATTGACAGATAGATTTCCCCAACCAGACTGAAGTGCCTCAGAGTAGAGATTTTATTTTATTCATTTGTTGATCCTAGCACCTCACATATAGTAGCTGTTAAATAAATGGTGTCATATTAAATTGAATTTTTATGGAACTATTATATCTCTCTGAGGTAAGTTAGGATGAGATTATGAAAGAAGGTACAGAATTTGGTATTGAGTAAATTCCAGGATAGACTTCAGCCTTCCAGAAAATGATTTTGTCATTCAGATGTACAGATTATAAGCAAAGCCACATGAGCTTCTAAGGCTGCACAGAGGAAATATGTATATGGATATACCCTATATACATAGAACAGATTAAAAAAAGGAAACTTTCACCCTGGATGGTCCTGTATTTCATGTTCTGCTAATAGTATCTGTGTTTTTAAACCCCTTGGAACATATGTGGTTACCATAACATACATACCAGTCAGGCTTAAAAGAACAATGAAGGGTGGGAGCGGTGGCTCCTGCCTATAATCCCAGCACTTTGGGAGGCTGAGGTGGGAGGATCGCTTGAACCCAGGAGTTTGAGACCAGCCTGGGCAACATAGGGAGACCTCCTGTCTACAAAAAAATTAAAAATCAGCTAGGCATAGCAGAATGCACCTATTATCCCAGCAACTAGGTACTGGGGAGAGTGAGATAGGAGGATGGCTTGAGCCTGAGAGTTCAAGGTTGCAGTGAGCTATGATGACACTGCTGCACTTTAGCCCTGGCAATAGACCTCATTTCTAAAGAAGAAGAAGAAAGAAAAATAAATACTTAAAATACTTACAGAATGGAGATTTGGGGAGTGGGCGAGGAGAACAGAGCTGTGTCGCCCAAGCTAGAGCACAGTGTTGTTATCATAGCTCACTGCAACCTTGAACTCCCAGGCTCAAGCAATCCTCTTGCCTCAGCCTCTGAAGTAACTGGGAATTACAGGTGCATGCCACCACACTCAGCTAATTGTTTTTATTTTTTGTAGAGATGAGGTCATGCTGTGTTGCCCAGGCTGGTCTCAAACTGGGCTCTGGGATTACAGAAATAAACCATCATGCCCGGCCAGAATGGAGAATTTATTTTAGAAATTAGACTTTGTACAGTCTTGGGCAAAGATGGGGAAATAGGTCCAAAGGGGAGAATTGAAGGTTCAGGAAAAACATCACTGATCATCCCTCTTGAAATAATGGCATTAAAGGAACAAGTTGGAGTTTTCAGGAAACTCTAGAAGCTAGGTACATTCAGCTACTAGAAAGAGACCATTAAAGCATAGGAGGTGTAGTGGTATAGAAGTCAGTGGAAGGCTGTCGCTCATTCATGACTGCTGCTTCTGTAAGTTTGCTGCCAAGTATTCGGTGTTGGGTTTAGGGTCATTGGTCAGCAGGGCTGATAGTTCTATAGCAGGAAAGAATAAGGACAACCCAGAACCCAGCAGCGTATCTGTATCTTCTTCTCACCGCCTCTCACTACAACCACCTTCGGAAAGTCATGGCAGCTACTTCATTTCCACCTTCTAAATCTCACACTAATTTCTTTTGGCCAATTCTGCCTTACAACTGTACAGGGTTCTAGGAAACTTAATTCTTATTTAACCAAGTTGACACAGTATAAACCACTACAATATACCTTTAAATTTTACAAATTGAATTTAGTTTCAATTTTAGAAGCAGTACTCACTTGAACAGGAAAAAGAGCTAAGAAATATGCATTACTTTGTATTTTTTTAAACATTCTCAGGCATTACCTAGTAGCATGCCTTTACTAGCACACATTTCAGAAACAAAGTGTTAATTGTAAATACTAACTACTACAGAAAATTTTAAGGTGATTATACAAATATTTCTTTTTCTTTTGGTGGTCAGCACAGAATTTAAGTACAGTTTTAAAACAATCATCTCTTGGGATCTTCTAAAGAAGGATCCAAGGAAGTAGTATTTATTGTGTACTGTACCAAGAATTTTTATGTGTCTTATTTCACTTGATTCATACACCAAACCTGTGAGGCTCCTAAATGTGAAGTTACTGAAGATCAAGTTCATATAAAAAGATTAAAAATTCATTCAGAATTTAGAGTAATTTTCATTTTAGTCAGGTTATCTTTTTCTCTTGGCTTAGTTTTAGCCTGCTCTTTAAAAACTTTTAATTGAAAGGATAATACATAAAATAAAGTGAACTAATCTTAAGGGTACAACTCAATAAATTTGTATATATCTCTGTATACATCCATGTAACCACCATGCAGATAAAAATGTAGAGCTTTTCCAGTGTCCTTGATTGATTTTTTTCCTTGGGTCATTTGTACTTCCAGGTAAACTGCCTTATATATTTATAGTTTTCATTACAATGGGTGGTACAATTCTTGGAACAATGCTGGGGGAAATGAATATATTAACAGTAAAGTAAAAATGTTATTGTGCCCCATAACTGCTTTAAATGACATTTACTTATGTCACTTTGTCTTTCTGCTTTTACCCTACAACAGGTAATCAGATCCTGTCCCTCGGGAGCCTCTCAAAAGATCAGATTTATCCAATGAAACTCAAGGGCATCTCCATCTGCTATTCAGCTCTCAAATCTGCCTTGTGTGGAAATTATGTCAGTTTTGGCGTCTTCAAGTTGTATGGGGACAACCATTTTGACAATATACTTCAGGCCTTTGTCAAAATGCTGCTGTCAGTGTCCCACAGTGACTTGCTAGTAAGCAACCGTGCATCATGGGAGTCTTTGTGTAAAATGTGAAGTAACACCACCACAGGCCTGGAATTATTATAATAAAGCCCAGGGAGTTAGAATAGCACCAGAACATTTTATGTTTTAAGACAGCCTACTTGCTCTAACTTACAGAATTTGGACAACTATGCTGTCAGTATTTAATATGTGCAATTTAGAAAGCTGCAGCTACCACCTTCTGACAAATTGGTCATCCAGAGTGCTCCAGGTTCTACATACAGAGAAAATATAATTACCAATTTCAACTGATTACTTACAACTATATTCATAATTCAAAAACAGTCTGTTTCCTGGAGCAGAAAATACAGCATTGGCTGCAGGATTTTCCTCTTCCTTTTATTCTACTCTTTCTACTTCCCCTGATGTTTGGCCTTCCTTTCCGTTAAAATTCTTGCGCAGTGAACAAGGTGCTGAACTGCAAGTTGAGCAACCTAGCATATTGTCTCAGCTGTGTCTCTCACTAATCACCTATATTTCTCCAGGCTTTAATTTCCTCGCTTTTAAAATGATTGGATTAAACTGAGAGATCTCTAGGTCCCTTTTCTGCTCTACCATCTAGTTTCTATGATTTATGTCAGTAATCTTCAGACTTTGATACTCATCAGAAACACCTGAGTTGCTTGTTGGAAATTCAAATTTCTCAGCTCCTCCATTGACCTGTGTCATTATCAGACTTTTTTTAAAAACATGTCTGCCAGATTACACACAATCCAATATGTGTCCAACATGGTTGCTGTAATTAATTGAGTAACATACCCAGATTCATGGTCAGGCTTAGTACAGCCTTTCCCACCTGCTCCCACCCAAGATTACAAGTAAGATTAACAAGTAAGTCTCTGTTAGCCTGTGTGAGAAATGCTCCTTGACCTTCTAATGGACTAGTGTACCCTCTTCTACCTTTCTAAACTAATCTTAATTGGGCCACATCTCAAGCCAAAGTTGTGAAGCCTCTTTGTAGTAGAATAGAATGTTCATTGAAGGCTATGCTTGTTTGATAGAAATTATAAATAGAAAATTAGGTAAAATCAGCCATATTACAATCACCTCATTGAGGGACTCTTCACTATAGTTAAAGTCTACCTAGAAAACTGGTATGGTTTCAGGAATTTTTCTCTCACCTTTTTCCTAATAGTCAAGCAAACTTCCCAATTCATTAATTCTCAAACTTAAGGGTGCATAGGACTCTATTAGCATATATATTCAAAGTGTATATTTCAGAGCTTCCCTCTAGAGCTTTCATTCAGTGAATCTGAAGTGGGTATCAGGAAACTGTATTTTTAACAAGCACCCCAAGTGATTCTCATGGAGGTGGTCATAACCTCACTTTTCACAGTACTCCTCTGGTTTATCTTATGAATGTTGTGCTTCTTGATATTGGTTGGATTTCATTTGAGATTTTCCAGCTTTCTTTCTCATGCACTTATCTTTTGCCTATAGTATATGCTAAGCCCTTTACCAAATTATGATTTAGTTAGCTAGGTTGGCATTGTATAAATACAGTGGCATGGTATAAATACTATGATGTCAAACCCTATTATAATAGCAAATTTCTTTGTGTTTAAAAAAACAAACCAAAAAAAAAAGTTGCCTAGCCACCATTAAGCACTGTTCAGTGTTTCAGTATTCCAGTCCAGAAAAATAATTCACACAGTCTTCTAAATGTCATACTGGGATTTCACTTGCATTTAAGTACTAGCCATATAAAGCAAAATTGAAATAAGGTACCATGCTATAGCTTCAAATTAGGGTTTCTAGAGATCAACAGATTCCTATTAGAACCCCTTTAAATGCTGGATTGGGACTCATTATGTCGTTTGTTCTATGTATTTATTGACCACGTGTTTAAGTAAGTTTACAATTTCCAGTATTATAAATGGCAATTTCCACTGGACTGTAACATGTCTTTTTCTTGCCTGTGGGTTGACATTTAGTATATCTCTGTGTTGTAGCAATACCGGAAACTGAGCCAGTCTTATTATCCACTCCTGGAATGTCTCACCCAGGACCACATGAGCTTCATCACCAACCTAGAGCCTCCTGTACTCCTATATGTTCTCACATCTATCTCAGAGGGACTCACTACTCTTGGTAAGGATCATGAAGGACATTGTTTGCAAAGGAAAAACTTGATTTATGGTCTCTTAATGTATGTGCTTATTGAGACTACCATCCTACAAAGGGGGAAAAGATATGAACCCAAACTGAAAGATTATTTTTTAACTGTTATTTATACGTGGGAAAGTATATTTTTTCATATTTTGATGTACAGTTTGTTATTTTTAATTGGCTTTACTGAGATATAATTTATATATAATAAAATTTACTGATATTAAGTGACTGGTTCAATGAGTCCTGACAAATGTGTACATGTACACAATCATGAACCACCACAACCAATATACAGAATATTTTCATCACAGCAAAAAGCTTTCTTATTCCCCCTTCTAGCCAATCCCTTCCCCCTACCTTTAGCCCAGGGAACCACTGTCTACTTTCTCTCACTGTAGTTTGCCTTATCCAGAATTATATGTAAGTGAAATCATATAATATGGAATTACTTGTCTGGCTTATTTAGCATAATGACTTTGAGATTCATCCGTGTTGTGTTAAGAATCATTTAGTTTATTCCTTTCTTTGGCTGAGTATTATTCCACTGCATGGATTACTACAGTTTGTTTACCCATTCAGCAGCTGATGGACACTTGGGTTTTTTCCATTATTTGGCTATTTTGAATAAAGCTGTATAAACATTCATATATAAGTCTTTAGATAGATAAATCTTTTTTATTTCTCTTGGCTAAATACCTAGGTGTGGGATTTCTGGGTTATATGCTAAGTGTATTTTTAACATTATAAGAAACTGACAAGACAGTTTTCCAAAGTGTATATACCATTTTGCTTCCACCAACAATGTATGAGGGTTTCAGTTGTTCTATATACTCACCAACACCTGCTATTATCAATCCTTTTAACCTTAGTCATGCTGGTGGGTGTGAAGTAGAATCTCATTTTGGTTTTAATTTGCATTTCACTAATGAATAATGATTTGAGCATCTTTTCATGCTTATTTGCCATTCATGTATCTTCTGGTGAAGTGTTCAACTCTTTTACTCTTTTTTTTTAACTGAGTTTTTTTATTTTGTCACTGAGTTGAGTTGTTATATATTCTGGATGTTAATCGTTTATCACATACATGTTTTACAAATATTTTTCCAGCCTGTGACTTATATTTGTATTTTCCTAACAGTATCTTCTGAAGAGCAAATGTTTTTAATTTTGAGAAAGTCCAATTTATTGGTTTTTTATGGTTTATATTTTTTGAGTCCTCTTCTAAGAAATCCTTGCTTAACCCACAGCCATTAATGATTTCTTCTATGTTTTCTAATAGTTTTAGCTCTTATGTTTCGATCTATGATTCATTTCAGTTTAATTTTATAATAAATCTTAAAATCAGGTAGTATAGCCCTTTAATTTTGTTTTGTTTTTTTCTTTTAAAATTGTTTTGGCTATTCTGGGTCCATTGTCTTTTTATATAAATCTTAGAATCAACTTGTCAGTTTCTCCTGTTTAAAAAAAATGTATGAGAATTTTTATTAGGATTGCATTGAATCTATAACTCAATTTGGGGATAATTAACATTATTAACAATACTTCAATCTCTGAAAATGGAATCTGTCTCCATTTATGTAGATATTACTATTTCTCAGCAGCATTTTTATAGTTTTGAATTTATGAGCCATATATATTTATTATATTTGTAAGTAAATATTTTATTTCTTATGCTATTGTAAGTGATATTAAACTTCAGTTTCCTATTTTTCTTTGCTGCCATATAGAGTTGCAGTTGATTTTTTGTTTTGTTTTTGTTTTTGTTTTTAGACAGAGTCTCACTCTGTTGCCCCAGCTAGAGCGCCATGGCGTTAGCCTAGCTCATAGCAACCTCAAACTCCTAGGCTCAAGCAATCCTTCTGCCTCAGCCTCAAGAGTAGCTGGGACTACAGGCATGCACCACCATGCCCAGCTAATTTTTTCTATTTTTGGTAGAGACAGGGTCTCACTCTTGCTTAGTCTGGTCTTGAACTCTTGAGCTCAAACGATCCACCCGCCTCGGCCTCCCAGTGTGCTAGGATTACAGGCATGAGCCACCGCACCTGGCTACAATTGATTTTTTTTAACATATTGACCTTGTGTCCTGCAACCTTGCTAAACTCATTTTGTCTGGTAGCTTTTTGTAGGTTTCTGAAGATTTTCTATGTAGATATATCTCCAAATAAAGGCAGTTTTACCGCTTCCTTTTCCATCTGGATGGTTTTTTTCTTGCCTTACCACACTGGCTAGAACCTACAATATAATGTTGAATCAAAGTGGTAATAACAAACATTTTTTCCTTATCTCCAATGTTAGGGGGTAAGTATTCAGTCTCACAGCATTCAATATAATGTTAGGTTTTTCATAAATGCTTTTTATCCTGTTGAGGAAATTTCTTTCTATTTATAGTTTTCTTAGAGTATTATCATGAATGGATGTTAAATTTTAGCAAATGCTTTTTCTGCATCCACTGATATGATCCTATGGTTTTTCTTCTTTGGTCTATTAATGGATTATGTTAATGTTAATCATCTTGAATGGTATTCAAATATTAAGCCAAACTTGCATTCCACACTTGGTTATTATGTATTACCCTTATATATCACTGGATCTGGTTTGTCAAAATTTTGATACAATTTTTTGCTTCTGTGTTAATGACAGATAGTGATGTGTTCTTTAGTTTTTGTTTATTTTTATTTATTTATTTTTTTTTTTGAGACAGACTCTCACTTTGTTGCCCAGGCTAGAGTGAGTGCTGTGGCATCAGCCTAGTTCACAGCAACCTCAAACTCCTGGGCTCAAGCGATCCTTCTGCCTCAGCCTCCCAAGTAGCTGGGACTACAGGCATGCGCCACCATGCCCGGCTAATTTTTTCTATATATTTTTAGTTGGCCAAATTAATTTCTTTCTATTTTTAGTAGAGATGGGGGTCTCACACTTGCTCAGGCTGGTTTCGAACTCCTGACCTTGAGCAATCCACCCGCCTCAGCCTCCCAGACGTTCTTTAGTTCTTATATAATTTTCTGTTCTTGTAGCTATGTCTTGCTTTAGTCTCAGTGTAGTGCCTGAGGATGTTTCATCCTTTCCTGTTTTCTCAAAAAAATAATGTAGAGTTGTTGTTAGTTCTTCCTTAAATGTTTGATAGAATTCTCCAGTGAAACCATCTGGCATAGAGTTTTCTTTGTGTGGAAGGTTTTTAACTACAAGTTATATTTTTTATAGCTATATAGCTATTCCAATTATTTTGAGTGGTATTTGGTAGTTTGTACCATTAAAGGAATTTGTTCTTTTCATTTCATTTGTTCTTTTCATGTAAAGTTCATATAATAATATTGACATAAAATTGTTTACAATATCCCCTTTCTTTATTTCTATAGGAACGGTTGTGATGTCCCTTCCATCTTTCTTGGTATTGACAGTTTGTTTCTTCTCTCTTTTTTTCTTGATTATTCTGACTATAGGTTTTTTTGTTTTGGGGGGTTTTTTTTGAGACAGGGTCTCACTCTGTTGCCCAAGCTAGAGTGCCATCTCACAGCAACCTCAAACTCCTGCGCTCAAGCTATCCTCCTCCCTCAGCCTCACAGATAGTTGGGACTACAGGCATGTGCCGCCATGCCCGGCTAATTTTATATATTGTTTTTTTCTTTTTTCTTTTTCTTTTTTTTTTTTTTTTACTTGTCCAGCTAATTTCTTTCTATTTTTTTAATAGAGATGGGGTCTCTCTCTTGCTCAGGCTGGTCTCAAACTCCTGAGCTCAAACGATCCTCCCGCCTCAGCCTCACAGAGTGAGTGCTAGGATTGCAGGCGTGAGCCAGCACGCCCAGCCAGCTTATTGATTTTCTTGCAAAGAACCAGTTTTTTAGTTTTCAATAATTTTCTCTGTATTATTTTTCTGTTTTTTTATTTAACATTATATTTTTATTCTCTAGAAGTTGATCTTTATTGTTTTTTTCCTTTTTTACTTTGTTTTTTCTTTTCTAGTCTTTTGTTTTCAAGATAGAAGCTTAGATCATTGATTTTAGGCCTTTTCTAATATATACCTTTCATGCTTTATTTAAGCACTCGTACAGCTACACCTCACAAATTTTGATATATTTTGTTTTTATTTTATTCAGTTCAAAAATATTTTCTAATTGCCCTGCTGATTACTTTAGCCAATGGATTGTTACCTAGAAGCACATTGCTTATTTTCCAAATATTTGGAGATATTTCTGATATTTTTCTTTGATTGACTACAGTTTTATTCCACTGTGTCATACAATATACTCAATGATTTTTATACTTTAAATTTATTGAGACTTTTTTATGGTCCAAAATATGGTGAATGCTCCTTGGAGACTTGAAATAAATGTGTATTTCATTGTTGGGAAGAGTGTTCTATAAGTGTCGGGTCTAGTCGATAATGTTCAGATTTTCTGTAATCTTACTTGTTAGTTGTTTGTTGTCTACATGTTCTATGAATTAGCAAAAGAGAAGTGCTGAAGTCTCTAACTATAATAATAGATTTGTACTATGTCTCCTTTCAGTTTTTTCAGTTTTTGTATCAAGTATCTTAAAGCTCTGTTATTTATATTTAGGATTATTATGTACCTTGAATTAACCCCTTTGTCATGATGAAATGACCCTCTTTATTTCTGGTAATATATTTCCTCTGAAATCTACGTTGTCTAATATTATTAACTTCTCTAGCTATCTTTTGATTAGTGTTAGCCTCTTTTTCCAACCTTTCACTTTTAAAGAAGTTTCTTTGTATTTAAAGTTGGTTTCTTGTAGACAGCATATATTTTCTTTTGCTGCTATAACAAATTACTACAAACTTGATTCCTTAAAACGATACAAATTTATTATACTTTTTTGTTTTTGTTTTGTTTTTTAGAGACAGGTCTCACTCTGTTGCCCAGGCTGGAGTGCAGTTGTGGGATCATAGCCCCCTGAAACCTCAACTCCTAGGCTCAAGTAATCCTCCTGTCTCGAGAGTAGCTAGGACTATAAGCGCACAC